GAATTCAGGCCTCTCTCCTTTACGAGGCCAGCACTTGACGGAAAGTTGACCGGCGTGATATTAACCACACCACCCAGCTTATAACATGTCTAGCACCGTCTGCCCCATTGCTTCGGCGAAGTGATAGGAGTTCTTTACTGTTACAGAACGGAGCTAAGCCATGTACTGGACTGCACTTCTCAGAAATACTAAATGGTGGTTTTTGGAACCCAGGATCAATCATAGGATTCCGCAGACAGTACATACTGTCATCGGATCGCAGTGACTTAACAGAAATTAAGACCGAGACGCTCCTCTAACGGATATGTGTCATCATAGTATCACGAAACATGCAATTATCTGTCTCTACCTCCCTGCTGTTTAGCCTGTTCTCGACAAAGTCATTACTGCATCACTAGTAAATCAGATGTGAAAACGACAGGCGATATGAGAAAGAATGGCGCCATTGATTACTGTTGAGTTGGGGATAGTGAAAGGGCGGCGTGAGATATACATTACGCGTCGAAATGTAGGACAGATATGGTTGACTTTAAAATTAAAGGTTTCACTCGAGAGGATTGACTTTATTGCACCGTGAAAAAAGTAAAGGACCCTTTTACAAGCCTTTAGGCGTATAGGGCATATACGGCTAGACCTATATTTTTTATAGACTAATCTGCGCAAAATGGGTGATGTGGTCAGCATCACGCCGGTCGCCTTTACTTTCCCGGAACTGCACCCGGTACCCACTCAAGGCTGGGTCGACCAAGGTAATTTTTTGAAAAAAATCCGGCCGCGCCAGGGAGCGAACCACGACCTTCCGATTCGCGGCGAGCGTCTAGCCGCTCGGCCACGGCGACTCCATTATTGCACCGTGCTTGATCCTATGTCTCTCTCCGCAGAATGGTTAGCCACCTGTCGAAAGCGTGGCACAAAGCACGAACATCGTAGTTCCGGCGACAATCTCGAGGGGTCTCCGTAAAAGTTGCGCTCGTGAATCGAATGACTCAGCCGAGAAATGATCCCAGGACTATCAGAAGACGAGGCAAATTGTTTGACCACCTGGCCACGGAGACATCCCGCGATGCATGCTACTTATTCCTATACATGGATTGAGGCAGGTCACGCCAGGGTGTTTGTTAGACCTTTTACTCTTTCCAGAGGTTAGTGTTATTTAAAGCCGCACGAAGACATTAGAATCACAGACCACAGAGATGACGCGTGTGACTAGCAAGACTTCCTGACATTTAGAAAATACTGCCACCACAAGTGCATGGATTTTCAGCACCACTGTTGTCATTTCGTGTTTACAGGTTTCTTCTAAACCTCAGCACTAACCTATCTGGCAGTAACTTGTCTCGTGATTCTTTTCCATGATTTTCCCGTCGACAACACAATCCAGCCCATTCGATTCCCATGAATCCATTCCAACAATGTATCACCCGTATGCAGCCTGCGTTTTTTTGGAGCTTTGGCAACTATATCTACCCACAGTATCCTTTCTCGTGTACTTTCAGCTAATTCTGGTACTGATGGTCTTCCATGCGATGTCAAACTGTACTTTTTTCGGTCTCGTTCTGCCTCTTTCTGCAGTTTCCCCATTGTTACGATGTACTTGTTTTCTTTTTTTATGTCATGACCAAAGTAATGTAAATTGTCCCCTTCTTATGTGGGCTCTCTCGTGTGTCAGTTTCTTTCCAGATGTCTTCATGACTCTTTCTGTCTGTGCAGGGTTTCTCGTCATTCGTTTGATCAGCTGCCTGTCAACGAGTAGAAGTTATGTTACTCATCTAAACGGGAAAGTCGCCAGCTTACACGTTGAAGATGGCAGAGGACGCAAAGGAGTTATGTAAAGCACTTTATTCAGAAAATTCTTCCTCGCGTTCACCAACTGTAAGCTCTGGCGGAAAGTTCTGGTTGTTCGTCCACTTCTGGACTGCAGTCCTGTTCCAGAGCCTGAGTGTTGCGTGTGCATCCGTTTTACAGATCGGACTCATTTGTATGCAGACTGTTGGTTTCTTGCCTCTCAGGTAAATGCACTCCGACTTCGAAGAAAGCTCCCGATTATTCAACTCTAACGACATGCTTTTGGGTAAGCAGCGGGTCTTTTCTTGTTTTCCAAATAAAAGGGTCCCGGAACCCATACGGGGAATTCAGAAAATATATTTAAATGTTATTGATTAAAAACAAAGTGCAGTTTTTAACAAAAGGTTTTATTTTATATAATTTTGATTTAAAAAAAATCCGACTTTAAAAAAACAAACAAAAAAACTAGAAGTGTCATTGAGTAATCACCGACACGTTTTGACCGTGTAGTTCCTAACAGCAAACGTCTGCATCTGTGTTGAAAGATGGCGCTGATTGAACCCGTCGTCCATATTTCACCACATGCCGCCCACTTGCTGCACGAAATTAATATTCAAGCGTCGACACAGGGTTGCATTTCAGGTCTCAGCTGTCGGTTGGAGTGAGAAGAGGGACGGAGTTTGTTGTTATTGATCTGGTAATTTCTTGCTTTTGTGCTACGGAGAGAAACAATTATTTGCTATTGTACACTTCGCCGTGTGGCCATTGATTTGCCATTTGCCCGCTCTTGCCATTGCATCAGTAATAATCGGTAGGGACGGGGGAAATGTGTTTCTTATTGAAGCTAAACAAAGGAGGATAAAAATATCGACTGCAGAGTTGTTGTTGTTGTTGTTGCTCCCCCCTCCCCTTTTGGGTACGCTCTGGTTTAACAAAGATATGTGTGTATGTGTGTGTGGGCACCGATTTGTATTGATGGTGTGTGCCTGTGCTTATGCGCAGCGCGCGCGAGGAGGGGCAGGGAGGAGAGAGATCCAAAATAACTTTTAGTTTGGCAAACTGAACATTGATTCAACATCTTTAAATATAGTAACGTATGCCCTGGCATAGGTTTGGAAGCCGCGGTAGAGCTGTGGTTACACGCTGGCCTCAAGGTGTTGGGTTCGTATCTGCATCGAGCCGGATGTTTATTATAATTGACCTGGGTTGCCAGGTAAACCAAGGCTAAATTGGGTCCCTGTGTGTTCTGGGAAGTAAAAGCGACCGACGTGTTGTTGACCTTATCATCCATCGATTGCTGATTGGCCTAGATGTGGGTCCAGTACCCCATGTCCGATGTGTCGTTGTCGTGACAAGAGCACGTGCTTCTCTAGAAGAACAGGTGCACTGTCATAATGCAGAATCCAGATGCTGTTAGTCTTCTTCTTCTGCGTTCGACATCAGCCATGCTAAACATTGAGTCCCGTCTGGGTCACAAAAAGGATTGTGCGTTTAAGGTCGCCATCGGTCCCCCATGGCTTCTCTTTCAATGTGGCTCCCTTGAGCCAGATCCACAGTCTTTGCTCGGAGAGGTTAGGGCAGTACTGCAGGTATGTGCTCAGGGGTCTGTCTTTCTGCTCCACAATCATAGGCAGCAGATTCTTTTATGCCTTTCCTGTACAGGTGTGCTCGAAGACCACAGTGTCCGGTCCGAAGTCTAAAAATTGTTGTTTGTTGTTTCCTGTTGAGTTTGTTTATGCTGTCACTCTCTGGTCTGTAATCTCCATTCTGCCTTCGCCACTCCCGCTTGAAAGACTGCTTTAGCGCTGTTTTGGTTTCCTTGTAGCTGTGTGGTGGATGAGGTTGTGGAATATTACTCCCAGCTTTTGCAAACTCATCTGCTCTCTCATTTCCTTGAATAAGTCTGTTTCTAGCACTGCACAGAGTCGCGGTGAGGTTGCTGTACCGGTCTTGGCTGGACTGTGTCTGACAATCGTCATTATAAATGAGGTTTTGGCGAAACACAACATTCTGTTTGGTACACACACTGCTGCTATCTTGTGATTTTTTGTTTCCACAATGCATCTGTAATCATCATCATCATCAGTTTTTTTAAATAAACAAAAAATCGTCACGTTCAACCAGCATCCCCGCAGTGGGAGCTTTAGGTTATAATCGTGACAAGGACTATTGCAGTGTTGATGCGATCACAGGAGACTGACCCAAATACTGTCGCGTCCGGCGACAAAGTCGTCTACCGGCCAGCCAGTGGGCGACTCGATCGCTGATCTTTCATCCTCATTATCATTGTCCTGTTGTGTCATTCTGTGTCACGTAGGGATCGTCGTCTGTTGCTCAGTTCCCTTCTATACTGTACAGTCCCTTCGATATCATAAATTGAATCCAGTCCAGCATTTTGGTCCTCTCTCACCAGTGTGTTCGTTGTGTGCTTTCTAAATGACGTCCTTGCTTCTTCAGTCCAATAATTTCCCAGTTTAGTGCCTGTTTGGTGATTCTCTGATCGTTCATTCTCAGGAAATGTCCTGTATAGCTTATCTCCTTTGTCTTATAATTGTTGTTACTAGTGGTTGCTAAGACATTTCTCTTATTTCTCCACACCTCTTGAGTGCATCACATGTAATATTTAGACTTTTCCACAAGCGTTTGTTCCTTCAGTTCAAGAAAGTAATGAAATATTCCCCTTAGATGACCCCGAAGAGATTCAAGCCGTCGCGACGAGACAATTTGAGGGCTGTTGCAGAAAGCATTTACCAGAGGTGCTTCTGTCATTTACAAGAAGGATCGATAAAGTGTAATTTATTAGATGGACACTACTGCTAACGAGATGAAACCCACTAACCAATAAGACTACCAACGTAAAAAAGTTAGTTCTGGAACCTTATAGTCAGACCTCCTATATTTTTATTTTCTGGCTGTTCATTTGGTCGTCTTTTTCACAACTGGTTTCTCACTGGATTCTTCAATAAAATTAAAGGACCCTTTTTACATAAGTGTCCATCGGGCATGTGATCATAGACTTATATTTGTATGGACCAGTCGGCACTTGATGAGTACTTTGGCCAACATTACACTGAGCTCTTTTACCTCCTTAGGTATTTCCAAGTACCCATTTTAGTTTGGGTTAGAAGGTCAGTTTATTGTTCCAAAATCAGCTTGGTGTGGAATTCCACACATCTTGACATGGTTTTAATTTGTTACATATTTGTAATTTTCAGACCTAGGAAACGTTGTGAGAACATGGTCAAGTGTCGGGACAAACTTGTGTATGTGAAAGAGGAGCATGAGTTTGGTCTGATCCCTCAGCCGCTGCATATTGGCCAGTATTATATGAGACAGAATCAGGACTTTCAGCTGCCTTATGACATTTGGTGGCAGCACATCCATCAGCAGGTTTGATAACTTCTTATTTTGTTGTTACTCTGTTACCAGATTGTAGCCATTGTCTGTATTTGTCTTGTGCATTTCATGTGGCTTGAATGAGGGATTTGTTCATGTGTTTGCAGGATTTGACTATACCATCTGTCCTTCTCATTCTCCTTAGTCTTCCTCTCACCTTCCGCTCAGATGTTCCTCTGTAGAAGAATTCATATACACTTGGGTTTTGTTGTATTCTTACTAGTTGGCCAAACCACTTCACCACTGGAAGACAAGAGTTGTAACTCTTAACCCTCTAGCTGTAGTGGTGGATATTGTTATGCCAGCAGCAGCATGACGCCAGATGTCTACAGACTAGTTTTGTTAAACATTATGGAATGTTATAATTAATTAAACTGGCATGTGTCATGACAGTAGGAAAGTTAAAAGGGAAGAGAGCAGGAGGGAGACCAAGAGAGAAAAAAGTTGAACATCATGACATGGAAAAGCATCTGTACCAGGAATAATTGATGCTACACGTCACTGCACATATGACTGCAAATTGATTACCACATGGCATGGACTACACGAAGAAGATATTTATTGTACTGGTATGAATTGATGTATGTTCAGAGAAAACCTTTTTTATTTACCTTGTTTCACAAGATTTCCAAACTTTATTGTAAATTTTGTTGTTTATTTACTTCTGATGTTTACACCACAGTTCGGTTCTGCGGTTGGCGGTTTAAAAAAACAATCCCCACAGCTTTCTGTCAGTGAAAGAAAAGTGCTGTGGAAGACATTAGGGTCTCACCGTGGACTATTTATAAAGAGTGCAGTAAATGCACACATCCACTGCAGCCAACCTACTGTGAAGACTTACTTAACTTTAAGGACCCTTTCAAGCCATTGGTGCATTTAGCATATGATGCCAGACTAACATACATATTTATAGACCAATCATTGGTATTGGGGTCAACATCAAGCCAGCATGGTGGAGGCAGTTAAAAAACAAAAACAACAAATTAATATTTATGTAAGGTCTTAACAGTGTGTATTATTCACTCTTCTTATTTATTGTGCAGATATGTGCCTGCTGTATGTTTTCTGTTGTATCACTGTTCCACTGTTACACTGTTAAATTTAAAATTCATTAACATTTTCAGCTACCAAAGAAGGCAGAGCCAAAAATCAAGTTTAGAACCATCAGAACAAGTAAGTAAGATGCATTGGAAATCTGAAATGAATATTCTAAGTAACTGTTGTGTTGCCATGATAAAATTCTGTAATGTAAATGATCTCTGAGGACAGAGAAAATTGCAGTATTATGCTTATGCACATGATGAATATAAATTTTCTTTCTGTTGTTCGCAACCTTTTGATTCCTTCTTGTTACTGCAGCTGTTATACAATTCTTTAGGTCACCATCTGTTAGCTGAGATATTCTTAACATTTTGCTGCTTTTATGTTTGCTAGCATCTCATTGTTTTTTCCCCCCAGTTGTTGAGATATAACTAAAATACAGTTGTTGCCTCACACAGACATGCACAAATATCACAAGTTCAGATTGACACAGAGATAGGTAATTCTTCCCCTCCAGATTTGCTGTGCATAGGATTAACATCAAATGGATGTGAATCAAACAAAGGAAATCCCTAAAACCCAGTTCAGCTATTTACAAGGGATGATTTTCAAGCAAGTCCTGGTATAAAATTAAAAAAACAAAACCCATCATATGTAAAAACGATTTATTGCAGCCAAAAGTGAACTGCACATTTACATTTACGGATCACAGCATGAACCTTGCAGCTGGCAGGAGTATTTATTTTGCACTCATTATAAATCACTCACATGAAGCATCAAACAAGATTTTGACAGTGAAACAATAGCATACAGCTAGGTAATGAACCACATAATCATAGTGCATATGCACATTTACGTTTTCCATCGGTGTTTGTCGCCGCAGTCAAAACGGGACACTTAAAAAACGTGCCTTATAACACAGTTACATTAGGGCACCCAGACAGTTACATTAGGGCACCCCTACAGGTATATTAGGGCACCCCTACAGTTACATTAGAGCACCCCTACAGTTACATTAGGGCACCCCTACAACACCCCTACAGTTACAACGTAACCTAAAGTCCAGTGTAGAGGTGAAATGTTTTAAGCCCCATAAAAAAAAAAAAACAGTTACATAAAACAAAAGATAGAGTGATTCTGGTTTTTCAGTTAAAAAGATTCATCTTTTATGCTTCACTATATGTTGATATAAACTTTTTCCGGTTTTCTGCCAGTTTACTTTTCCTGGTATTGTGTATCTGATTCTTGATTATATTTTAACTTTCCCAATGCCCTTTTGGGAATCATGGTAGCGCACCGGCTAATGGCATGGGCTCATTCGTCACTAGACTCATTTTTACAACTGGCCAGCACTGCCAGGTAATCAAAACCTAGTATCTAAAAATATCATGGAAAGTTAAGGTGACATAATGCTGATCACATCATTCATGGAAAGTTGATAGGCCTTTAAAATCATCGTTTGCATTTGCACCTTAGGCAGGAAAGTCTTTTTACTATTGCACTTGCCATTCTTTCTTTGTTTTGTGTGGTAACCACTTTGGGATAGCTGTATCTATATAATTCTTGTCTGTTACCTGCAGTATTTGTTCTAGAATACATTATTTCTTGTTTTCCTCCTTAATTAAAGTAGAAGACATTTAAAAGAATGAATCTCCAGAAACCATTTAAAGATGTCCCTTTAAAAAAACAATATTGTCAGCATTTTATAATGCATTGCCTACATAGGGAAGTATTGTTAGTTATTTTTAGTTTATCCCGTCTGTGTTTTCTGTTCTAGTAAAAATACATACTGTAATTACTTATGTATAACAACAGTTATTCTTAGGCCTTACAGATGCATTGTTTATGTTTGTTTATTCTGTCTCTTGCAGTAAGTTTATCATCAAGTTGTGACAGGTAGAATTCAGTAAACACAAAATAACCCTATTTTGCTGCCATTTTGCTGTGACAGCTAAATTCTCATAAAGATAAATGCTAGAATAACTTAAGTAAAGATAATTTCCAGACAAATCCAAAACAAAAATCTTGGCCTCAAGGGAAAGATCACTGAAGAAACTAGATTTTCCTATCTCGGTTAAATCATTACAAGAGATGTTATTTGTTAAAGCTGAAATAGATTTTCTATCATAGTAGCTAAAAGGGTATTTTGGGAAAAGAAGATATATCTAACATCAGTTTGGCATCAGTATTGAACTACAGAACAAGCATAAGTGTTTTGTAGGTCTGGCTATTTTTAATTTTAGAAATCACTGATGGTTTACTTGGCAGAGCTGTGATTTGAAACCTTTTTCAGGTGGCGTCTCCCACCTATATAAAAACATATGGCAAATACACTCCTTCTCACCCCCCCCCCCCCACCCAAAAAAAAATTTGCTCCTCCCACCAATTATAATAATAATTAAAAAAATTTGATTAAAGAGAGGATGACCAAAAAAAAAAAAAATCACAAGAGCTATTAACAAGAACTTGGAGAAAAAATGTAAATGTAAATTAAAAGCTTTGGTTTTTTTTTAAAAATAAATTGTTTATATATAAAGTGGTTCCACTGTTAAAAAATCTGTAAAGTAGACTGGTAGTTATTTCTGAAATAAAAGACAGTTTGACACAGTGATTTCTTGAAAAAAAAAAGGATGTTATGACACAGACCACTGCAAGATACCTCTCATGGTTTGATAGTTGACAAGTAGACCACAGTTGACATATTAGACATACCTGCTGTAGAAGATGTGCAACAGATATTTAATATGATGGCTGTTAAGATCATTTATGTGTTCACCTTCCTGCTTCCCCCTGTCTTAGATGTGTACTCAGATAGCAGAGTCAGCAGCCGCAAGCTGGAGGTGCCTCTCTGTAGCTGCATCCCACTCCATTGTGGTGGAAAAGGCTGTGGAGATGATTGCCTAAACAGGTAATGAGATACTACTTATGTGAGCCTCTCCTTTCCCTGATTATTATAGATGACTGTCAACTCCTTTGTCATAACAGTCCAGTCTTTAAAGGTTAGTTGCGTATCCTTTACAGGACGTTGCAGAACCAACCTTAACAGCCCCTGGCTGTTGTGTGGTTTCTCTAGGCAAATTTACGTCCAGTAGTTTGCCACTGCTTTCCGGACGGTCGGCTTTCTTGATACCACTGTCGAAACCAACGCTAAGGCACGTGGCCTGCAGCTGGGATCGAACCCGGCATCACGGTATTACGATGCGTTTGCATCCACTTAGCCACAGAGCTGACAGTCCAGTCTACAGTGCTGTTTAACTCTCTCAGCTTCAGGCATTTGTTTCTTGTAGAACCGATTGCTAGAAATGAACACACATGATCAAACAGTAGCTTAGTGTCCTAATAACACGGTGTGTTTTATTGCACTGTCGATAAATAGAAAGGTATTTGTTGCTCGACATGCTGTTTCCTAGTTGTCCTTCAGTTCCACACAATTACAGATTTAAATAATGAGGGCACAAACAATATATTGCCCCTTTTTTGCAACACAGTTATGTTTTGTTTTTGTTGTGCATCTTGTCCGGGCCTACTATAGAATTTACATCAAAATATACTGAAGCTAAAAAGTGAATCCTTACTGAAGTATATACCTCCCATTGGGGGAAAACAAAATATACTCCCCCCCCCCCCCCCCCCCCCCATATTTTTTTCTTCAAACAAGCATGTTGTTAAAGGTGACTAATTAGGGATGCTTCCCTTGCAATTGGAGTGCATCTGCCTGAGAAATGAGAAACCTACAGTCTACATTGAAAATTGTAATAGGATGTTGATGCAAAACTCAAGTATTGGAACAGGACCAAAGTCGAGAAATCGACAAACCAGAACCATCCGCAAGAGTTTATAACTGTTGAACACTAGGAAAAACATAACTAAAATGCAAATCATAATCCGTGGAGGTTGCAAAATGTGCATCAAACGCTCTCTACCAGTAGGTACTATTTGTACAAACTACAGAACTGAGGTAACTGCACTCCTCTCTGCAGTTCAGCATCTCATCAATTTAGAATACAGAGGGAACAATTTTGTGCCATTAAAAAAAAAAAGACAACCTGATTGCAGATTGAGGACCAGCTTTGGCTTAGTTTCCAAGGAAGCAGAACTGGTCTCACATTTGATAACAGCTTACTGTGATATTCCAATAAATAAGAGAGCAGATCAGCTGGCAAGAGCTTTGAGCAATCTTCCATAACCTTATCCACCACAGAGCTACTTAGAAACAAAAACATTCCTTTAGGGTGGAGTAGACAAGGCAGAATGAAGACCACAGGCTGGGGAATGACAGCATAAACAAACAAACAAACACACACATGCACACACACACACACACACACACACACACACACACACACACACACACACACACACACACACACACACACACACATATATATTTATGGACGGCCAGAGTAACTAACAACGATTGCTTGATAATGAAAGTAGATCTCTATATTCAACAATAAGACAGAGAAAACACTGCTCTTTGGCTACACAATGAGAAGAGAGACATTGGAGAACATCGTGACAAGTGGAAAGATTAGTGGAAAAAGGGGTAGAGGCAGCCCAAGAGAGATGATGCTGGATGGGCTGGTATCGAGGGATATCATCAAGAGAGCTATTCCAGGCAACCAAGGATCATGATCTGTGGAGACGCATGAGCACCTATGGCAGTTGGCAAGGCACATGATATATATATATATATATATATATATATTGTCTTCTCTTTTGACATTAATTTTATAGACTTACAATAGTAGCATTTTTGTTGTTGAAAGTTGACACAATAGTTTTCTTGCATCATGCGAGTGTCTGACTGTTTACTTCTGAATGTAGTGAGTTTTCTTCTTTTATGTCTTGGCATCCTGCAGCAAATGATACACTGGAAACAAAAATGAATGTTTATTACATACTGCTGTCAAACATAAACCTTGGAGAAGCATGATCACCCATAACTAGTTGGCAAGGATGGCTACATATGTTACAGTTTTATTGTGTTTTAGTATAGAGCATGAATAATGCAGTAGTCTGTCATTAAAAATAATCTCATCCAGCTTTTTTTCATTCTTGTCCATGTTTGCTAGGCAAAGAATTACAAAAAGCAGGTCTGAACGTAAAATTTAAAATTTATCGGCAAACAGTTCTTTTTGTTTTAATTCAGAAGTTTAATAACCATAATTCACACTTTTAAAAACTACTTTCAACTAACATATGTTTACTTTTTGATGTGTTTAAAAAAAATGATAATACCAAGTGATCACCCATACTAGTTGGCAAGGATGGCTACATATGTTTCAGTTTGATTGTGTTTTAGTATAGAGCATGAATAATGCAGTAGTCTGTCATTAAAAATAATCTCATCCAGCTTTTTTCATTCTTGTCCATATTTGCTAGACGAAGAATTACAATAAGCAGGTCCTAACGTAAAATTTATCAGCAAGCAGTTCTTTTTGTTTTAATTCAGAGGTTTAATAATCATAATTCACACTTTTAAAAACTAATTTCAACTAACATATGTTTACTTTTTGATGTGATTAAAAAAAATAATAATACCAAGTGTTTGTGATGCTAAGGAAAATGAATAATCTCATGCAGATTTTTCCTCCATGGTTGCTAAGCAAAAATTGACAAGATACTGTCTGAATATAACACCATAGGCAAACACTGAAAAAAAAAAAGAAAAGAAAAAAAAATTACTTGCCATTGCAGCCCTTATTTACCACTTTTGCAGTACAGGTAAAGACTACAGTAGTACAACATGTCTATGGTCTAGATGGCCAGAAGTGCAGGAACACATAATATTGTTTCTCATTCACACTTGATGCAGTAAAAGAAGAAGACAGGCATTTGTTTAAAAAGATAAAAAAGAACAACTTGTTGTTGATTATAATTACTACTTTTTTAAAACTAGTTACAACTAACATACTAACATTTTACTGTGTTCATTTAAATAAAACCAAGTTTTAGTGTTTATGATGCTAGGGTCAGATGCAACCATTATAGATCTACATGATTTGGGAAAAAATAATGTGTTTATTAATTTTAATTTACCCAGTTATACAAATCCTAGCTTATCTATAGACTTTGTGTGACTAGTCACTAGAGGTATAGCTTGTTTTGTTGGGAAGTCAGTGTATGGAAGTGAGGCTGCCAGGTTCAAAACCATTAATTCCTTCAGTGGGTCAGAATCAGAGCATCGTGTATCATTTCTGCATGAAGCCTTCTTGGTGGTTGTGTGTATGTCCCTGCTTTTCCTTGATGGCAGACTGCCACATAAATGACTTTTTTGGTGATTTTGGTGGGCTAGGATGTGGATAAAAGTGCTCCAGACACACTATATTCTGAAAAACAAAACAAATTGTTTAGGCAGGGCTGTCTTTGAGCCTGAGGATTTAGAGTTAGTGACTGTTGTGCATAGCATGACTTGTGCAGGTTAGCATTTTTGTATGTGCTTCTCACCAAAAAAACAAACAAAAAACAAACCACTTTCAGTCTTACTACTGATTCTTCTTCTTCTTCTTCTTTTTCTTCTTCTTCTTCTTCGTGTTCACTGGCTGTAAACTCAGGTGAAAAGTTGTAGGTAATTGTCTGCCTCCAGACTTAAGTCTTGTTCCAGATCCTGAGTGTTGCATGCACATTCGTTTCACAGATCTGGCTTATTTGTATGCAGACTTTTGGTTTTTTGCCCTTCAGGCAAATGTTCTCCGACTTTAAGTGATGCCCCCAATTAGATGACTCCTACAGTGTGTGTCTGTTCTTGTTTTCCCTACTGTGTGGTCCTGGAACACACAAATGGATACTCAGATTCAGATCTTGGTCTCCGCAATGACATCCCAGCATTCTTAACCATTCAGCCAGTTTCTCCTCTTAACAGCTTTCAGACAGTCAAATTGTTCTATAAAACTATCTAGATTGACCCAGACAAATGTTAGGGTAGCTGGCTGTATCATCTAATTTTATCAGTATTACATTTCCGCTGCAGACAGAAACCAAGCAATTACTAGTCTACCACAATGGTAAATTGAGAAGAAGCCTACATAAAACCTTGCCATTTAAAACCACAATTAAACTGAGCAAGAGCTAATTGAAGAATGTCATTTCATGATGGATCTCTCAGTATTAATTCGTATGTTGTTGTGTCAGGAGAATGTGACATCATGGCCAGTCTTCTTTTGCTTTTAAAAGTATGGTTGGCATATTATATTGTGTTTGATTTATAGTAGCTATTACAGCACTTTTTAGCACAACACATCTGATTTCAGACACACCCATTTGGTCGCCTTTAGGGGGACAGCTGTTCTTTTGTCTCTCAACATGGGTCTCTGGAACTTGCTCGGGGAATGCTAATTTAAATATTTTGAAGAAACTTGGTTTTAATTGTAATCTGTTAAGGTAGTGTTTAAAAAGAAAAAAATTAAGGCATTAAATAATTCTAACAATTGTTAACAGAAGGAATGTTTTTATTATCATCCTAGCTTTATCTTCTGGTTTTGATATCAGGGAAATATAGCTAACAAACCAGGCTGAATAGTTTGTAGAAATTTGGTTTTAATTCAACCTAAGAGGATATAATTTTAAACCACAGTGAAATCGTGGCTCAGGCGTTGCGTGTCCGACTCATAATTCCAACATACTGCGATCGAAACCCACTGCTGGCAGCGTAGATTTTTCATCATGGTATGGGGCGTCGCAGGTGGACCCAGCCTAAAATGGGTACCAGGATGTATGTCCTGGTGAAGTAAAGACGGCCGGTGTAATGCTGACCACATTACCCACCTGGTGCCAATTGGTCTATAAAAATATGGGTGCACTTCCCTCATGCCCGATGCACCTAAAGGTGTGAAAATAGATCTTTACTTTTTTTTTTTAACACAGTTAAATCTATCAAATGTTAAAAAAAGTATTTTATTTTATACC